GGCGCGTATCGTGAAAAGGGGGATATAGGCGCGTGATCTCGCGAGATCGGAAGCCATTTATGGACCCTGATCGACTTAGAATCGTGTCGACTGCGTGTAATCTGCTTAGAAGATGCTATTCTCCCAAGTAATTACCGGATAGATCCCCTCCCCACCCGCGAGAAAATTGCGTTTTTCGCGTTTATGCACCTCGTCTATTATACGGCTATTCGACCATTCTCTGCTTTTCGTCCCGACTATGCTTTCTTCTTCTTCTTCTTCTTCTTTTTTTTTCTATTAGAAAATTTTTACTTACGCGAAAAGAAGATTGAATAGAATTCAATAAAATATAATACGAATAACGAACGAATGAGATATCGATGGACTATATAGAAGATATTGATAAACAAAAATTTGCTAAAGCAGTGATTAAACATTCGTGATAATTGAATGAAATTAATCGAACAATCGAGAACTTAATGGAATTTAATAATAATACCGGGGGATGGGTGATTAAAAAGAAACGAAATAAAATTTACTAAATCGAATACGAGTAATTGAAATTTAACTTGATAATGAAATTTAACGAAATCAAGAAACACGCGCTTCAACCTTTAACTGTAATCTTCAATTTGCATTCAAAGGGGGGGGTTAAACGACAACTTTCCAAATTAAATTTTAACCGTGATAACGAAAAGAAAAGCGCAACAATTCCACCGTTCGCATTCCTCGCACCGTTTCGAAGACTTGGAAAACTTGGTAAACTTTTGGAACGTCCTCTTGAGCGGCCAACGTCCCAACGGGTCATCAACCTGGCCCTTTCATCGAAAGCAGAAAAACCGTGAGGGGATGAAGGCGGCGATTGAAGTTCAAAGGGGAGAGAGGGGGGGAAAAAAAGGAATAACAATAATAACGTCCGGTAATCGACTCTGGGTCTAACACCTTTAACGAGACCTTGACGCGAACCCTTTCTTTCTCGGGGGTGAAATCCACGCGCTCCCTCGCGAACGAGCGTCACAGTGACCATTTGTGGATAATGGGACGGAACGAAGCGGAAAATGGCACATCAAAAAGAAACTGGGACAAAGGGGACCCTGTTGTCCACCTAATAAAGCAGAGTGGCCAACGCCACTCACGATATTAGGGCTGGT